ACTTAACCACCTGTTCTGCAATAAAATCTGTTCTTAAGGTAAAATCTTTCAAATCATGTACATGATGTACTTTTGAATACCAGATTTTTTTTTTTAAATTTTATAGGAATCCACGTTGTATTAAATAGTCAGCTGGGGTTCATCCAAAACACAATCAATTGTGTATGACCGGTTATGTAAATGTCAAATACCCTGACCCTTTTGTATAATTAAAAATAGTTAATGATAATTAACAAATACCCATTCCGCTACAATTTTCACCAGAATTGTCACCTTTTGCCTCGTCACATTTTAAACCAACAGAAAAATAACCCTTTTACATATCAATCTACCCCTCCTGTCGTAATGAGTATAATGTACCTCTGACATTCCATGGTATTGGGTCTTTTAAAAGTTCTATAACTTCTGAGTGTTCAGTCTGTAAAGTACTGTGGGAATGTTGCAACTTTTTCAGATTTCCTGTCACTTCTGAGTGTTCTATCTGTAAAGAACTATGAGAATCCTGTAACCTTCTCAGATTTTCTGTCACTTCTAAGTGTTCTGTCCCCAAATTCTCCATTGTTTGTCTCAGTTCTTTCATCTCTTCCTGTGATTGTTTGATTTCCAACATAATTTCCTGATTGGACTGATCTAAGATTTTAACCTTCAAGTTTTGGCACTCTTGGTTCATTGGTTGACCCCCCAATCGATTTATAGCCTAGAACCAAATATAAAAAAAAACTATGTTAAATGAATACGTGCAAACACATTCTTCATGTATAACAATCCTAACATGAAGATAACCTGTTGTTTCCCCTTTGTTTAGTCTATGATTTTGTTGTTGTTTTCCTGTCCTAAACATTTTTCATCTGTCTGTACTATTTCATTTAGTCTCTTTCTTGTTTGTCCAACGTTCAAAATCTGGAAATGTCTATGTTATTAAATCCCCCTAGGATGCTGTTAACCTATTTTATCATTTAAGTTCTATTAAATAATATACACAATTTGATATGTACATAATTCACAGCTTGTGTTCGGTTCCTTTTGATTATTCAGTTATTTCAATCAATTACGAAAACATATTGGATAGCACAACACACGATATCAACCAGTGTTGGTTTGTTGATAACGTTATGCTGTTGATTTTAGCGTATATATTCTGATTTTCGAATACTAAGTAGGCAAACATTTTTGTTAAAGTGTACTTTGGTAAATCCAAATGGAGATCACCCACAGTTTTTGCTTAGTCTATGTTGTGTTTTTGTGTACATTTGTTTGTCTATCGGTCTTATTAATTTTTAGCCTGACGTTGTCAGTTTGTTTTCGACATATGAGTTTGAATATGTCCCTTTGGTTTCTTTCGCCCCTCTTTTACACAGAATCCCAAACAGTTAATAACGTGACATAAATCAGCACGAGGTTGATCCTTTTATTAGCAATTTAGATTGTATTATTGTACGAAAATGTGTCAAGATCTGGAAATTGAATTTAATTTTAGGGCATATCTTATGTTTTCGATCTAGATATCCTTAAGCGTTTTAAACGTGGTATGAATTAATATAAAACATATATGTCTCCCCATAATGGAAGTTGAAGTTTGCGAAAGCGAAGGCCGCGAAAGTTACGATATAACATGTCCAAGTAGAGGATTGCTATACATTTGAAAACAAACAGTTATCGTTAATGTAAATGATGATGGTTCTCCTCAAATTACATATTCAACTATAGCTCTCATCAAATGTCTTATATGAACGTACAAACTAGATTCATTTAGAAAATTGCAAATTAAACTGTTTCAAATTGGTCTCACACAAATGTGGTACTTCCTGCACAATCCAAATACTTCAACGAATAATATTTGAAGATTTTGTTATATTTATACATGTTATAATTAGATCAGTTAAACTTTCGATCTTTTCATTTCCAAATTCATTTTTAAAATTCCTCTTAACTGAGTTAATAACAAATTTAATTTGTCAACATCATTTCCGTAATCCTTACAACAAGATAATTTATTTTATAGTTACCTGTGTACGATATTTTATTTGACGCCATTGTGTAAAAGGTTATAGTTGTCTTTTTGACATTGTTTTACATATTGTATTTTTATTGTGTCATAGATCAAATTTATTCATTCATCGTATGTTTACTTGTTTTGTTATTATTTCTTTTTGATCGATATAAGACATTTCAATTGATATTTTATAGTATGTCTTTCTATGTTATTATGTTGTGCTGCTGTTTCAGGTTGGGGTGAAGGTTGACACCTGTTAAAACGTTTAAACCCGCTGCATTTTTAACACCTGTCCTAAGTCCGGTGTCTGTTGTTCAGTGGTAGTTGGTAGTTCATACGTATTTCTCGTTTCTCATTTTTTATATAGATTAGAACATTGGTTTTCCTGTTAGAATGGTTTTACACTAGTTATTTAGGGACTCTTTATAGCTTGCTGTTCTGTGTGAGCCAAGGCATTGTGTCGAAGGCCGTACTTTGATTAGAACGGATTAAATTTTGTCAAATTGTAATTTCAATGGAAAGTTGTCTTACCTCATCTTCTTATATCTCTCTTTATATATATATATATATATATATATATGTAAAAGCTGTATGTTCAGTCTTTATATTTCACTTAAATTTGACAAGAAATGCAATTCTGATAATTACACCAATGATTGAATTAATTTGATAGTAATGACACCTTAAATGACCAAAAACATGGCATGGGTTCACAGTGAAAGTTTTGAAAAGAATTGTGCAGACTGGTTTGATATGATTTATGAATATTATTAAAAGTCAAAAGAAAATAATTCAGAATGGAAATTTATTGAAGTGGAATCTAGGAAATAATATATACGTGGTATATTAGGTTTCAGGGTGTCAAGTATATATGTATATGTCTCTTCACTGGTTGCAATTGTATTATACATTTAAACAGCATTTTTTTTATACAAATAATCGTAAAACAGTATCATGAAGAGTTATCAAACTCAATCATGACTGAACTAGCTGCATATGTAGAACTACATCAGATGTTGCAACCCAACCTGTATTTTTCTTCTAAAGGTTCCGAGAAAGGTAAAAAAAAATGTGTAACAGGTACAACTATATCCAAAGAGATAAAATGACAAGTTTAAGTTGTGATGTATCATGATTAACAAGCTAGCACAAACGAATTTAAGAATACCAGACAGCAGTTACCGCGAAAACCCCATTTACTCAGAAATCAATAACGTGCGCATTGAAAACAATTACAAAGACACACCCTCAATTTTGAATGTCCGTAGCCGATCACCAAATACCGTAGTAAATTTTAAAGATAGTTTTATCATTGTGTATCGGAAGACGAAGCTGAATGAAATTCTGAATCCTCAAACAGAGAAGTAGATTTTGAATCTATAGCCAGACAACAGAAATATGAACTAGCTCAATCGAAGTTGAAAAAGGAGAATTAAAAATGTTCTAACCAAACAGTTGTTATTTATTCGTTTGATGTGTTTGAACGTTTGATTTTGCTATTTGGTTATGGACTTTCCGTTTTGGATTTTCCTAGGAGTTCGGTACTTTTATTATTTTACTTTTTTCGTATAGGACACAACAGAAGTTCATTTGTGCTAAGAGGTAAAGGACATTTAGCAACACAATTTAAATTCGACAATTAGGACTACGCGTATATAAAAGTGCCTACTTCAATAAGGTAGTGAATAAGGTACTATGGAAAACCTCAAATGAAACTGACAAATTAGAAGTTACTTAGATCGTTATTTTCATAAGACGCAATGCTATTAAGTAAATTGGATGATTATACTGGTTATGTTGAATGACAAAAAATATTTTATTACAGTAGTCCAAACAAACTTGACTATTTAATCATGAATGTAAATGCAAACAGAGAAAAAGATAACTGAATCTTGCACCTGATAAAATATTAATCAATCAACCGTACGTGAATTAAAATGCTTTAAACATAAATGTGCAATAATTTTGGCAAGTTTTTTTTACCAGTTCTCAAAGCATTAGAAGTAATATAAGCCTTAGGAGCAATGTGTCTAGAGGTCATCACTTAGAATTTGAGTCTGAACCTTGTAATAAGTGATTATTTAGGGAATCAATATTAAGTGACATCAAACGTATTAATAAACTTTCAACCATCGTGATTTTTTAAGTTCAATCACACGTTATAAAACCAAAACCTGGTCAATTGACTTATCATCAATTTAAATAATTTGAATACACCTAGTATATAAAAATTTCAAAATAAATAGATGTAGAATTAATAAACTTCTTAACATTAAACACTTTTAAAACTCTAAAATGTAGTCTGGGGTCAGGAAATATTAAGATTTGAATAATTTTTATCAGTTGACTGCTATGCTAAATATGTTATCGTCAGTTCCTATGTTGTTTGGTGTTTTTTGTTTTGTTTACTGAACTATTTTTTGTCTGATATTTCATTCAAAATGTCTAGCTTATCAATCTTTGCTGAACGTACCCACTATTGTTTTCAACATTAATAAGGAATAACGAAATCCATGGGTAAATATTTTCAAGAGGGTCAAGATTAAAAAACTAGGTCGACTACTGATTGAATTATAAACATAAACACGATAAATTGTTGCCCATCTTTGCATGTTAAAGTTTCTATATTATTCTTTGATATTGCTAAAAAAAAACATTCAGACACCACAAAAAAGTTGAAAATCTTTAATTTGTAAAATTTAGGAAAAGTAAAACAAATGTCTATCATACATAAAAGATCATACCTATAAACAGCACACATTATCAGAAAAGTTAACACTTTGTTTTCTGAAGTCATTGAAGCATGAAACAGAGATGGATGTTCATGTTCCATTATGGTAAGTACTGGATCTATAGTTTGAAAAGGGTGGTGAGACATTTTTGCAATTTTATTTAAGACACTTTGGGCCACCTCACAATCTGCAAGTGATATAGATTATTACAATTACACTTACAGATGATATGTCATTCCATGCTGTCGTGAAATAAGCAGTATCAATTTTATTACTATCATGATGAGCTAGATTATTTCTGTACCATTTTATTCTAGCTAGATCAGGTCCTGCAGTTGTCTCTACCGGAAGTGGAAGGCTGCCAAATCCATTGATTGGTTGATTAACAGATGTCAGGTGTCTGATCAAACAGATCATCAATGTGACATCAAAAGTTGTCGAATCAGGTACACCTGTAACATCAAAAGTATACGAATCAGTTACGCCTGTTAGATTAAAAGTATAAGACTAAGTTAACATCTCTAACATTTAAAGTATAAGAATCAGCTACACCAGCAACATCAAAAGTATTGAAATCATGTACATATGTAACATCAGAAGTTGTTGAATCAAGTACTAGTACACCTATCAAAATCAAAAGCATTTGAATCAGGTACACCTGGTACATGAAAATTTTAGAATTTGAAATCAAAATATTTAAAAGAAGTTATACATGAAAATATCAGAATAAGTTACAAATGTTACATCAAAAGTATTGCAATTAGGTACATGCATAACCTTAAAAGCCATTCAACATTTTCAGTTATCATAGTTCTTAAATTGGGAAGCTGGCAAAGTCAATAATAATATAAAACACAGTCAGTTGTTTTAAATGGAGAAAGTAAAGATGTGAGGTGACTTACAATGGACAGACAAATGCGAAGTGAATTACCTCGTCTGACCAATAAAGAGTATAAAAAAAATCATGAAATATTATGCAACCATCTGAGCCTCCACTTGAATAAAACTCTTTTCAGAACATGATGTAAATATCCAAGCACTGTCAACGATAATATTCACAGCTCATTGGACGAATGGTTGTCAGTTTGAACCCCGCTTAAAGCAGTGCGTTTAACTCAAACTTAATTTTCTATATTTGCCAGTTTTCCGGCTGAACGTTGGTTCTACAGCTTATTCCATTAATAGCCAATAGTGTGAAAAGCAGCATTGTTTTTTATCATACGTTTTTCACAATCATTTATTTGTTGTTGTTTTGTTGGTTGGGTTTTTTGCTTCTTTTTTTAGGGGAGGGGGGTTTTTCTTCTTTTTTTTTCCAACATTTATCTTACTTCGTATGCTTGGTGACTCTTCCAAACATAATTTTTGATAGATATTACTAATGACTTAAAAAAAGAATGAGTCCATAGTACACGGATGCCCAATCCACAATATCGTTTTCCATGTTCAGTGGACCGTGAAATTGGGGTAAAAACTCTTATTTGGCATTGAAATTAGAATGATCATAGGGAACATGTGCGCTAAGTTTCAAGTTGATTGGACTTCAACTTCATCAAAAACTACCTTGACCAAAAACTTAAACCAAATACTTTAACCTGAAGCGGGCATAAACATAGTGTTGATATATACGTGCATCAATGCACTAAGATAGTTGTACATTTTTGTACAATTATGTAGATGATCTACATCATGCAATTAAAAACCCATTATAAGTCCAATATTTGCATATAAGGTAGTAAATAAGGATTGCGTGTGTTTTGAATGAACTAGGTTTAAAAATTCAAATATTGTTTATAAAAGGCTATATATATCTATATGTTTTAACAAATTTGTGTATGTCTGTCTAAACATTAAAATATCTGTGGGGTTAAATTTGTCTGTGATTATATGTTTATGTTTCTGCCATTTGATGTTAATGACAGATATATTTTTGATAGTCTTTGTTCAAATCTTTTCACACCTTGTCAAGTATGTCTACACTAATTAATTAAAAGATTTAGGTATGGTATAGACAATTGGTCAATTGCTGACGATGCTAATTGTTTTGGGGCTCTAGCATTTTTAGTTCATACCCTGTTTACATATCTCCCTTATCTGCAGCTGAACAAAAACATACCATTTCTTGGAAACAAAAGCTTCCACTGAGCTTGGTTCAAAACTCTGTTTAATTTTAAGCCATAAAGAGTGTTGTAGTTTTTATTCAGTGTTGAAGGTAGATGAGTAGGTGGAAATTCTCTGTCAAAATAAGTACGGACTGCTCTTGGTGACACTCCTTTCAATAACAAAGCTAATCGGATATAATTCTCTTCTTCTTCTGATAGTGGTGCCATCTTTTAAAATATTCTCTATTGTACAACAGAAACTATACCAATTTTACATTATGGCTTATTCCTAAAAATAAATAAAATTGTTTCTACACATGATATGTTATGTAAGAAAAAGAAACCTCCAATTTTATTCATCTAAATAATCAAATCATTTGCTTTGATCTTTTCATCTAAATTTACAACCGCTTATTAAACAACAAGCATCTTCTAACATGAAGATTTTCACCACTGCATTTGACCAAAAATCTAAAAAGCGGAAACAAATCAATAGAAACGAATCTTTATGCAAAGTGAGTATGTAATTTTGCCTTTTTTTTTTAGAATGGATAGAAATACAAAATTTAATTAATTTTCCAATAAAAAGCCGGATCACCCCAGTTTAAGTTTCTTTAGTTTTGCATGCTTTCCTTTGTTTTGTAACATTTTGGCGGGAATGTCTAATCCACAATAAAACTTAGAATTATTTATACGGAAAAGAGTAACTATCAAAATTTATGTAGAAAAAATCCAGTGTCTATGCTGGGATTCGAACTCAAGACCTTTAGCATATAGACCCACGATTCGAACCCCTACACCAGGACGACTGGATACAAACTCACTGTTAATTTAACATATCTAAACATTGTGTCCGGGGCTCATAAAAGGTACATACTATATAATGATATATAAAATATATTTTAAGGATTGTGTGGCGATCTAAACTAGATTTTTATGAAGCGTAAATGGGTCTTAATCTAATCTAGAACAGCTGGGATGTAAAATAGTTATCCCATTCGGACTTGGTGTGTCAGTGTAAGATCACCCTTTGCACTCCGGCCATCGGGATGATCTTACACTGACACACTGCGTCTTCAAGGGATAACTATTACAGACTTCATAACTATTTGGACTACTACCAGCTATAGTATTGTTTATATTTATATTCATTGCAAAGTTGTTTACTATTTCGATTTAATACCTGGATGGAAAAAGAAAAGGGAAAATGATGAATTCTAATTCTTACCTTTTAAAATGAATTGATAGAAAATGAAAATATATGGAGTAAATGTACATGGGACAAAATCGCATACAATACATAGAAAACATAGAAAATTATCAATGAACAGGGCTTTTATTCCTGTTCTTCATCATGACAGTTGATGTAGGGTCTTCAACAATGAACGAATCATTCATACCCTACAACAAGGTCAAGACGGCCCCTAGCGTCGACCACAGTTCACCTTCTTGCTCCCCAAGATATCTTCTCAGTGAGGGTTACAAATATCGGTTATATAAGCTGTGTAAAATACAAGTAGTTACATTAACTACCACCAACGCCGTGAAAGAAATCAAAAGTTCTCATTCCATGCTACAAAAAATACTATATTTTCTTTATTTGTGTTTTACCTTTATATATATATACACATATATATGTTCGTTATGATCACAGAATGTTAAGAATTCTATTTCTTGAATATGTGTATCTAAATCTGTAGATAATATGATATCAGCCATCTGCAATTGGAAACAAAGTGACATTACTCAAGCATTTCAAATTCTATTAAAGATTAAAAAAACGTAACAGATAATTATAATCTAGACATTTTAGTGCATAAAGGTAACTTGCGAAAGTCCTTATGGTGACATAAAACATGTTGAAAATGACACATTTCAGCTAAAATGACTCTTTTACTCATGGTATTTGGACAAAATGGATTTGAGTAATAACCTTAACTCTGAAAGATATTCTATACACATTAACATCTGTTTAAAATATATTTTAGAGAACATAAATGTTTTTTTTTCTAATTTCTAAAAAAATACCAGCAACTATGAGTACCCTTTTATTGGTGTAATGTGAGTTATTGCGATCCTCGTATCTATCATTTGAGTAACGCCAATTTAACTGATATGTACAGTTGGTTCTTATGTTGTGCTGTTACACGCCTGTTCCATGTAACAGGAGGATTGGGCGCTTACAAAAATGTTTACCCCGGCACATTCTTTGCGTGCATGTTCCAAATCAGTAATGTGTAGTTCAGTCGCTGATGTTGGTTTGTGTCTGACGTATTGTTTCTCATCTTGCATGTCAGCGGCTTTCATAGCCGTTGATACGGTATCGGTTTTCCTCATTGTTGAAGGACGTTTGATGGCCTATAATTGATTAACTCTACTTCATTTGCATCGGAAGAAAAATAAAGAACTATAAATCTGTTATCGCATACACCAAATAAAGGTGACTTTATTCTTATTAATAGTGTGTTGTTAGTTTCTAGCCTTTCATTCTGATATAAATGACACATTTTGACATTCAGATAATTGAGATAATTGAAAAAAGAAAAGCACAATTTACCTGTAAAGTTTTAATGCAGTGTGTCATTTACAGTCAAACCCATCGAATATCATTAGGCAACCTATATATAATTAGATAATTGCCCATCACCCAATACAAGGCTAAAATCCTATGTTTGATGACACCTAATTTTAACAATTTGATGTAAATATCAAATGTATCAGATGGTAGATATTGATCAGAGTATGTAATGGACTGTATTGTAATAACTGTACATAATAAATAAGCATTTTGAAATCGGAAATATGCACGAATGTGAGAATCGTTTGTTTGTCATGAATTTTAAGGTGCATTATATCTTTACGCTCTGTATGATACGTTGAGTACAAATAAATACATGACATACAGATTTTATACTTAATGTACAGATTCATTTAATCTTTTACATGTTGTAATTGCCATAGTAATAAATGTAATCAATCCAAAAAATGTCAACTTAGTCGGTGTCTTCTATAGATTGCACTTCTGTAAATATAGACAGTGCGACATATCTTCAACATTTATATGCCCTGAACTTATTAGAGTTTAACCTTATACTAAAATTCTATACTACCCCTACCTTCACTTTGGACCTACTTCAGAATTCAATTTTCACTGCAACATCATGTTTTTATACTAGTAATATTTTCAAGTTATGTCTCTATGAGATGAAACATAGAGATCATATCTGGTAACCAGGACGTAAACAAAACAAATCATCTATGAATATTATATATCTCCCCAAAAGAGGCGTGTTTTGAGAAACAGCTGTATTTACAAAGTGCAACCTATAATAAAGCGTTCCATTTGTTTGTTAAATTCAACTTGATATTCGATATTACACCTGACTGATGATATATATGAAAGTGTAGTATAATTTACTTTTAATGTATATAAAGCATGTTCCCTGTTTCATTTTTTGGCAAATATTAAACTATCTTTTAACCGATACTGTTGAAAATATTTTTTGGCACTGCATAAAGGTAGTATAAAACTCGAAATTTGACAACTTGTCTGCAATGACCTTTTAATTCAGAGGGTATATAACTATTTGGCTGATTGTGTGTTAAATAAAGGTAACCAATGGAAAATAATACTAACCATTGTTATAAAGATTGGATACCTATATATTCACGATGATCTAAGTTTATGACTGCTTTTGTATTTTCGGTTATTTAATTCATATTTTTCATTGTTAAAATTGACTTTATATATATATATGTACAATACGCTTTAATTGTAATAATTTTGATAAACATATTAATTGTCAAATGTATAAACGACCGAAATGACTTTTTTCAATTATAAGTTTAACTGTGTTGGAATGATTCCATATCAAAACGAACAATATAAAAAGCAGGCAATAGTATTAAGCTTTGAATAATGAATCCATTACATATATTATATGGACAAAATGCCAGAATTACTGATTTTTTTTTAACATGGCTTCCATTGTTTTGCCTTTAAGTAAAGCTTTATACCTAAAAATATCTATAGTAGAAAGGAAATTCGATGAACAAAAGAAGATTTGATGTATCCTTCGTCGCCTACGAGACATCAACAAAACGAAAAAATAACAATAAGAACTCAAAGAGACAATATAGCGTGTTTGCTGAACATCGAGTTTGATTTACAATTTTATAGAAGTCTACTGTTCCCTTAAAAGATAAAATGTAACGACTCAATGAAGAGCAGACGCACGTTATGATGTTTATGTTTATACCATGTGAATAACAATGTTTAACGTTGCCACTATGAATTAAATTCATAAGACATATAAACTAGAGGCTCTCAAGAGCCTGTGTCGCTCACCTGTATTTACTGATGCTTTGGAAATCATGTAAAATAAGGTTAAAATCATAATTAATAATATTAGATATTAGATATTATAATGATATCTAAGATTATAACAAAAAACTACAAAATTTCTGTAAAATTACTAACTCAGGGGCAGCAACTCAACAACAGGTTGTCGGATTTGTCTGAAAATTTCAGGGCAGATAGATCTTGACCTGATAATCAGTTTTACCCATGTCAGATTTACTCTAAATGCTTTGGTTTCAGAGATATAAGCCAAAATCTACATTTTACCCCTATGTTCTATTTTTTAGCCATGGCAGCCATCTTGGTTGGTTAGCGGGGTCATCGGACACATTTTTTAAACTAGATACCCTAATGATGATTGTGGCCAAGTTTGGTTAAATTTGGCCCAGTGGTTTCAGAGGAGAAGATTTTTGTAAACGATAACGGCGACGGGCGACGACGACGACGGACTACGGACGCCAAATGATCAGAAAAGCTCACTTGGACCTTCGGGCCAGGTGAGCTAAAAACTAACGTGAAGTTATATTCACAAAATATACATGCATTACAGTTCAAAAATATCGATGTGTAAATTTTTTTTATCCGTCCTAAAGCTGGACAGGGAATATTGTGTCGACTTGATGAACCAATAAATAAAGGCAACAGTAATATATCGGTGTTCAAAAGTCATAAATCGATTGAGAGAAAAGAAATCCGGCTTACAGACTAAAACCGAGGGACACACATCAACTATAAGAGGAAAACAAAGGACAAACAGGAACACTGAAGTGCAACAAAAAAAAAACCGCCAACGTACAAAGAAACGAACTTTTTGATAACAACTGCCATATTCCTATCTTGGTACAGGACATTTTAAGAAAAAATGGTGGGTTAAACCTGGTATAATGGCTAGCCAAACCTTCGAAACCGTA